AGATAAAGTCAGCAGAGCTGAGTGTTTGTAAATGGGATATACTGATTTTGAGTTTGAAAGTATGAGTTTCAGAAAAAGAATTCTCGATTTTATCAAGATCTTCCTCAACACTAATGGGTTGTTTTAATTTTTCATTTCGAATCCAATCTTGAAGACACACTAGAGCTTGCACCAATTTAGGAGTTAATGAACTCCTAAATGAATCAAGAAGACGTCCTCCCTTACTAAACGCACATTCGGATGCCACACTTGAAACCGGAACAGCTAATACATCACGAGCCATCTCCGCAAGAATAGGAAATCTAGCTGAGTTCAATTTCCACCAAAGAATAACATCAAATTCTTTAGTGTCATCCTCAGTTTCATCACCTAAATATTTATCTAACTCTGTTCTAGTATCAACACCTCCACTCCCACTTTTATATTTTTTTATATCTTGCATGAGTGATTCTAAAAGTCCTATATTTTGGGTGTTTGCTTGACTGCTAGAAAGCCCGGAAGTCGAAGTGTCCAATGAAGAACAATCTGAAGATGAAGCAAGCACAACACCTTTTGAGCTGGACTTTACATACTCACTGAATAATGAAGTCATGTACTTCGTCACTTCTGCTTGTATAGTTTCCCCCGGATCTACACCAAACATCTTTACAAGTGCAAAGCCAACTGATTCGATCTTGTAACGTGGATCTAAAATACATGAGATAAAAATTATCTTGTTCATTTTCCCTGGATCACCCCAATACTTATCAAACTTTTCTTTCATATTCTTTGCCATTTCACTTAAAACTATATCTTCATTTGCTATCAATTGCTTCAAATAGATAGCAACTGTGCAAATTTCAACAAAATGAATATTCGATGTAACATAACGTGATCCAGATATCTTCAAAGTAAGAAGATAGAAGATTTCAAGAAACTTTGTAATTCTTTTTACATTCTCCCAATCACTACTCAAAAGTTCACCTGTAGGAATTCCAACATCAATATAAGAATGCTCAAGATAATGTCTCAATCCAATTTCACTAGAAGCATAATGTGAAAATGCACTTTCAAATTCAACAGCCCTGCGCAACATCAAGTAGGTGGAATTCCATCTAGTTGGAACATCTAAGCATAAAGTTTTCTTAGAATTGAGTGGTTCAGCATCAAAACATTCTTGAAACCTCTTCAACCTCGCAGGAGACTGCCTAACATATCTCACTGCATGCCTAACACGTTCAATAAACACTGAAGATTCTTTTAAACCATCATGGACCACAAATTCATGATGTGACCCATACATCTCACGTGAAGGTGAGTAACATTCATCAAAAATTACTTCCCATTTTTGTTAATTGCTTAGATAATTCTTTTACTGTCACATCATTTGAGCTTGCATTATCAACTGTGACAGTGAAGATCTTATTTATCCCCCACTCACGTAAGCACCTACCAATACCGTTTGCCATATCTTCGCCTTTATGACTAATAATAGGACAAAAATTAATTATTCTCTTATGCATATTTCATTCACTATCAATCCAATGGGCCACATGTAATTGATTCTTTGTATAGAAGTCCAGGTATCAGTGGTAATACATACTCTTTGTTTTGTTTCTATAAAAAACCTCTTCAACTTTTGCTTTTCTTCATTAAAAAGATCAAAACAATCCCTAGTTACAGTACTACGGGAAGAGATCCGAAAATAAGGTTGCGCCACTTTCATAAAGTCTCTAAAACCTTCTTTCTCAACAAAGCTAAAAGGAAGCACATCAACTATTACCATATGACATAATGCCTTCCTACATTCTTCTTGTTTTTATTTCCAAGTAACAACAGCTACGTCACCCTGACTACCCCTCGGAGCAGATTGAAAGCCTAAATTTGATTGTTTTTTATCAACAATAGCAGGGCGTTTAGGACACTTAAGCATATGAGAAAGAAGTGTCGACGTACCGTCTTTGTTCTTAAATACATACTCAATAAAGCAATAGTCACATTTTGTTGTTGTACTCCCTTCAGAAGTAATAATTTCTGTAAAATGATCCCACACCACAGATCTTTTTCTCCTTTTTTTGGTTATATTTGACTCCGTTGTTTGAGCTTGACTTGTTGCATTTGAATTAGAAGCCCCACTTTCACCCATCATCACCTTATCACTTTGTATATTTTCAGCCATGTATGAGTCACTGCAACAAGAAAAGAAAAGGAATGAGAATAAAGACGTCAAGTTGTAAACTAATCGTATTTTGTTAGTAATATGGAACACATTTATAAGTGGAACACATTTATAACAAAGAAATAATGTAATTGTATTTTAAACTTACTAATTTAAACTTTATAATGGGGATGCTAAGATTGAATAATTTCAACAGTCAGAGTATAATGGGGATGCTAAGATTGAATAATTTCCAATGTAACGTTCTTTTAGACAAACTAATAAGGAAAGTATGCCGCACAGAATGTAATTGAGAGTAATAGAATCTTGTTAAATAACTGCATGAATGAATAAACAAGTCCACAACAATACAAAGTATTAATAGTAAACAGTGTTGGATAAAACTGATATATCACTACTAGTGTCATTAAATTCATTTTGGATATAATGTATCTAGTAGCAAACTCACTCCACTATCACCAAAAGACACAAGCAAAACCTTGCCAGAATGCAAATGCCAAATATTTTTAAATTCAATCAGACCCCAAAAGATATCCTTTATAAAGTCATAATCATCAAAATGTTATGATAAAAAGAATAACACAATCAAGATCTAGTTTATGTACAGAGGCGGTGGAACTGCTTGAAATTTAAAAATGGAACTTAAATTAACTGTAGAGCAGTAGTTTCTTCACTATTACAACAATCAATTTGATTCTCGAGATTAGGAAATTAGCTTTACCATCTCCGGCATGTTGCCGAACAGGAGGATTACAACCAAAAATAAATTAAAAATAGAACAAAAAATAAATTAAAAATAGAACCAAAAAATTTCTAAAATGCCTAATGATTCAGTGGGAGACGGAAATTCTACCTTCCTTGTTTGCTTATTACAGGAATATTGAGTTCCTAAATAGGTGGAGACGAGACGGCGAGACGAAGAGACGAGACGGCGAGAGGGAGACCGGTGGCTGGTGGAAGTCGACGACGATGAGAACTGTTGGCCAGTGGGCGGTGGCTGCTGGTTTAGGCGTTAGGGTTTCTCTGGAATTAGGATTTTAGGAACAGATGGGTTTGTTACTTTGTTTAGAGATAGAGACAGAACTTTTGTTTTTGTTAATCATTTTCAAGGGTTTTAGTTTTTTTATATTTAATATATAGAAATAAAAATAAATTTTATATATATATATATATATATATATATATATATATATATATTCTTAACGGGTTAACGGATTATCCGTTAAGAAAATTGAATAATCCGCCCCCAAACCGATAATCCGTTAATAAAAAAAATTCAATCCGTTCCCCGTCCGTTAAGCCGTTACCAGTAAGCCATTAAGCTTCGGTTCGAATCGGTTTCGGTTTCGGATCGGTTTTGAACACCCCTAGTTGGACTGTTGATTACAGTCCACAAAGCATGAAACTGTTTAGTGATTATAGGCAAATTGCTCAAGGTAGTAAGGTGGTTTTTGGTGGTAATAGTGGTATTAGGTGTTAAAGGTGAGGATAGACACACAGTAAATATCCAGCAAAAGAGATGTACTTGTAGGCTTTGGGACTTGTCTGGTATTCCTTGCCCTCATACACACATAAATCTCCAGCAAAAGAGATGTACTTGTAGGCTTTGGGACTTGTCTGGTATTCCTTGCCCCCATACAATAAGGGCTTTGATATACAAGAAGGATGTTCCTCTAACAGAAATGAATTGGTGGTATAGTAAGAATGCTTAATTGCTAACATATCAACATAAGATGTAGCCTATGAGGGGTTCAAAATTCTGGAAAGTTACTCCTGCACAAGCCATGGAACCACCTGATCTTGTCAAGTCTGTTGGCAGGCCCAAGGTTAAATGAAACAGGGAACCTGATGAGGCAAGAAAAATAAAGGGAATATGGACTATTTCAATAAAGGGAGGTCAGATTACTTCTAGCAAATGTGGTAAAACAAAGCACAATGCAAGAACATGTGACAAGGTAAAGCTTTTCATAATTACTATTGTTACATTATTGTAATTGACATATAATTTTGCATGGCAGGATCCTGCTGCTGGAATGTGCTCACAAGTGAGGAAAAGAGCAGCATGCAGTCAAACTTCTGATGCATTTCAAAGTGAATAAGAGACTGATGCATTTCAAAGGGAAGAAGAGTCTGATGCATTTCAAGCTGCCACACAACAATCCCAACAATCAGTATTTTCCAGCCAAGGTTGAACTTCTTCCACACAAACTTCTGCTGCATATGGTCCCGAGATTGGGAATGAAGAAGACCCCCCATTGAGGCCAATGATTATTTCTGAGACACAAACAAGGCTACAAAACAGAATGACTAGGCAAAGCACAACTGGGACAAAAAGGATTCAGTTCAAGGGAGATCATACTGGTACATCAATGCCAACTAACTTGCCTTACTCACCAAAGAAGGTCACATGGAAAGGGAAGGCAGCTATGACATCCAACCAATTGCAAATAGAGGCAACGAAAAAAAACTGAAGGTGATGGGAAGGAAGGAAAAATGAACAGCAGCTAATTCAGATGTTTCTATTTAAGTGAATTTGTTGTTAATGGTTGTTTTGTGGATGTCTAAACTCTATGGTAGTTCTTTTGTCTTAACCATCATGTGGTTGATTACATCTTGTTTTTTGTCATTGGTTAAGCACCTGATGGTTAAGAATAATTATATTTTGGTAATGGTGAATTATCATATTTAACTTTGAATGATGTGATCTTATTTGGTAAAGATTTGTTTGAATGTGAATGCACTTTTTATTAGCATATAAGTTGTTTGAATGTGATAGAAGAAACCATTGCAACTACATTCATTTCAACATTACACTATACGTGCAAAGGAAAATAACTTCAAGTTGATCAAAACATTACAACTGTATTCCCAACATAAGTTCAAAACATTACAATTCAAATAGTTCAAAGCAGCACCATGATAGTCACATTACATTATCCAACTAGAGATTAAACCAACAAAGCAACACCATGATATCCCAATGACAATCCATTGCTTGAACACTTTATCCTTCAACTTTTGAATCAATCCAACATCAACTGCCAGCAAATTCTCAAGATCTGCAACTTTCTTCTTCAAATCATCATTTTCTTTCACCTTCTCAATTCCTTCGGCCACATAATTTTCAAGATCGACCATCCTTCGTCGCAAAATATTCTTTTCATGTCGAAGACTATCTTTATCCTTTTTTAACTTGCAGATCAGTTCTATGATTCTAGGAGAAAGTTCATCATCCTCCCATTCCCAATAAGAACATTTTTTTTCCTATCCAAATATCACAAAGAATTAACCCGAAATCCCCATTTACCCGTAAACTAATCTTATTCTACACAAAATTAATTGAGACTTACCTCCGGCATTGAACACTTGGAAAATCGTCTCCCATCATTCAACGGAGTCCAAGCAACAAAATTGCTAGCAGCCTTTCCACAATAAAATTTTTTCCTCAACCCAGTTAATACACTAGAACACCCAGACATTTTCTTTATGAGTGGAGATGTTGAAGATGAAAAAAAATTACCCTAAACCTAAACTTATTTCGAAGTTTATGAGATGGCAAGAAAAATTGAGTTGAGATTAATGAAATCATAGAAGAAGAAGAAGAAGAAGAAGAAGAAGAAGAAGAAGAAGAAGAAGAAGAAGGGGAGGAGGAGGAGGAGGAGGAAATGAAAAAGGCGATGAGGAGTAAATAAAAGGAGGTGGGGTCGGTAAAAAGGGGTGGGGGTTGGTAAGAATTGGTTAACATTAATTGAGACTTATTAATGGTGGTAGGAGGTTAAAGATACAACCGTTAGCCTAGAGAGGCAATAATACCATGGTTTGTGTAATGGCAGGGACACAAATGGGCTCAATATTTAACGGAGGGATGTGCACCTGGGCGAAGACTACATGGGTAGTTTAGGCCCTTTTCCGTATAACGAATGTTATTGATAAAGGTACTGTTGGGCATTTGTGATGGTTTTTAGAACTTGTGGGTATAAGTCATGTTTCATGTTTTTTAAAAAAAAGTGAAATATATTTTGAAAACGCATGTCCAAGCACATTTTCATCTTCAAACCAAACTTCAACCAAATAAGATTTTTCAAGACAAATTTGAAAATCTAGGGCCAAACGCTAGCTGAGATAAGCTAGCCCAAGTACCTTTTTCTTGGTTTGGTTACTTTCCTATTCATTATTGTTGTCTTGTCAAAACAATGGAGTACTACTTCGTGTTATGATTATGTTAAAAAGTAGTATGAGCTGTGCAAGGGGTTTTGTTTCTTTGTGAAAACCAAAAACAAAAATGGAACTAGAAAGATAGTGATTAGGGATCACTTGGAACTGATGAGGGGTGGGGGATCAGACTTCCACTTATTTCAACTGCACATGAATAAATGAGGGACCATTTCTTTCCACTAGCTACTCTTTTGTGGTCTCCATTTGATTAGGACAAGCCAGGAATTTCTCCCATTTATAATGTACTGTAATATTTATGGAAAGACAAGGCTTCTGTAAACATATACTACTGAAGTTACTATCTAAGTAATAATTGGATGGTGGGGGAGTAATATAGTCCCTCCGATCCATAATACTAAGTTATATTTTGGCCTTCTTATCTTGGCCTAAAATAAGTGTCCTTTTATATAATCAAGAAGTAATTAACTTTATATTTTCAAATATGTCCTTATTTATATATCTCAATATGTCAAGTTAACATTATGTAAATTTAATTAAGAGTAATTTAATTAGTCAAAATTCTTATTTTTTAAGAGTTAATATTTCTTGTGGGGGGTGGGGTGGGGGGTGGGGATGGCATAGGCCGAAAAGTCACTTCTTATGAAACGGAGGGAGGACAATCTTTAATTTTATTCCTTTCGACAGTGCGAGAAATTGTAACGTTACTATCCGAGTATGGCGCATATAATATGTTTTTGGCATTGCAGAAAAAGTTTAGTCCGAAGATTGTCTTTTTGATCTGCATTACAATATTGGCTATTGGGGTACCTATCAAGAGGGTAGTGGGAGTAGGATACTAAAATCAGACCATCATATTGTTCTACATGATCAATCACCATCAAATCTTAGACATATAAAACTAGACACTTTGGTCCTCATAAGTCATTTGATATTATGTTAATCTTGAAAGGAGCAAGATGGAGTCAAAAATTAAAAGAAAGGAAAACGCAACTAAAAACCCTTTGTTCGTCGTGACTATTAATATAAATCGAGTGCCGATCATATCTTTTTCTTGCATGAAATTCCTACTCTCTCACTTAAACCCTGTGATAATGTAGGTGCCAAGTGAAAATGCAATTTAAAACTTTTTCTTTGTCACGATTGGCAAGGTTTTCATAAGAATTACGTGTAGTATGGAGTTCAAACTAACAAGTTTTAATGTATGGATAGTAATAATACCGCGTATATGCAGTTCACCATTAATATTATTTCCCTGAAATTTCATCTGCAAGTAATCACATTTTAATTTTCACTTTTTTTTTGTACTATCAAGCAATAATATTATGGAATCTAGAATAAAAATTGAAAGTTATGTGTCAAATCATGTGTGTTTCATCGAAATATCAAAACTTCACGGGGAATCCTAATCTATCCAGTTGTAAAAGTGGTTTTATGATCATACAATTCATGAAGCCAAGGCTACTTTTGATGACTGGCTTTGCTTGGCTTGGTGATGACTAATTGTGTGTGAGATCAAGTGTTAGTTGTCATTATGGATAGTCAATTTCAGACAATATATAATCCACTGAAAAACTGTATCATAATGCATTTTCCATTTTGAGCGTCTTTCAATTGAGACCAAAAGGCTAACGCTTTCTGGAGGAAAGAAGGGCCCGATCTATCCATACTCTTAGTTTGGATGTGAATATATATGTTTTGCTTTACGAAAAAAAAAACTAACAACACCATATTTTACTTGAAAAAACCGTAGTCCCTCATTTCAATTTTGTGATGTAATTTGACTTGTATGGAGCTTAATAAAAACTTTATAACTTGCGATCTAAAGTATATCTGACTACAAAAACATATTATTAAGGTAAAATGAGAATGTAAAATTAAATTATTAAAAAGTATAAAAATATATTGTAATGAACTAGTAATAAGGAATGCTCCAGATTAATGAAATGGAGGAAGTATATAGTTTTTTTAAAACAAATATTTTTTTTCCATTAAAGATATTATTTTAACAAAAATTAATACAAATATTCTCCAAAGATAGTCCTTTTTATTTATTATCTAAAGGTCCCATCTTATAAATAAAAAAGATAAGCCTTAGCGTGAGCCTTATTTGTAGTTCAGTAAAACTTAAATTGTCCTCTTTTTTTTCAAGATAGAGAAAATGCCAGCCAATATCTTTGAGATGAGGACGATGAGTTGGAACCCTATAATGCAAGGTCACAAGATTGTGATACTTTATGTTTCAGAGTCAATTGACCCTTCTTTAAAAGAAAAAACTTTTTCCCAAATCTAGGTTTCCAAACAAAAATAGAATCCAAATGGCGCATCATTTTTGCCTAGCGCCTGTCCTAGTCATCACATTAACAACGTCATTGTTCAAGACCAAAATAAGCACAATCACAATCTCAGATTGGATATAGATCAATGATTTTGTATACTCTACACTTTTCTTTCTTGTTCAAAACTGGAGTATTATATTTCCCTTTGTCTGTGTCAATAGGGTAAAAAGAAAACGAATTAGGCAAGCTTTGACCTGGAAAGTGTGAAACTTAGATCCTCACTATTTTTAATTACGTTTATACTAAATAAACAATACCAGGAGAAACAAACGGTGCCCAACATTTGAATTTGAAAAAGAAAAAACTCCACACTAAGCCTGGCTCTATCCTAGATAGTTAGTTTAGGTAAGGTGGGAGAAAAGCAACATTAATCTTTACATTACAAATTAATATAAGTGAAGTTTGGTCGGCCTTAATCTCTTTTACATTTTTGTGTACTTAGTCAAAGATTTAATGTATTTCAGATAATGAATTTTCTTACTAATAGATGACAAGGAATCAACTACAGTATTTCTTTTCTGTGCCTAGATTGAACCCTAATTTGCCATGATTTAGTTCTCCACAACTCACCCTATAGACTATTCCTCTTGGCAAGTGTCAATTGATGCAAATTAAATGGATATGCTTTGAATGATAAAGTATTCAAAACCATAATTCATTGCGACTGATTAAAAGTAGTACGTACGTAGTAGTAGACAGTTTGAAGTGAAAGCTCAATAATCTGAAAGCAATAATGCTTTTGTCCTTGTAGTTCTATTGAAATCTAGAGGAACATGAAAGAATGACAACAACGCTGATTTAGAGAACTAACATTTCAGAGGCAGAATCATTATTCAAGAGAACATTCCAATGTGAAAACAAAGTACCATAATGGAATGTCGGTAGGCGACGCATAATTCCATTTGCAGCGTTTGTTCTTTTGGAGAATGTCATATCTTGTGGGGCAAAGTACAAAATTAATCGGTGACCGAAACTAATTGCATTCGGCAACTAAAATTTATATAAAATATGTATATAATATAATCCGCCCCTTATTTTATTAAGGTTGGAAAGAATGTCCATCATATATACAGAAAATATATATATATATATATATATATATATATATATATATATATATATTATCGACTACTATAATTTTCGAGAGTGGCTAGAAATATATTTGTGGCTGTGGACAAGTACGGCCTTAATTGAAAAGGCCGACTGCTTCCTTAATATTAGGCTTGGGTTTGTGGGGCTGGGAGTTGGATTTTTTGGCCCATTTCAATATTTGCCCACTACTCCTATATTTATAGAAATCTTCTCTTCATTTTGTTTTGTTTTGTTTTATTTATAATTTTTTGTCCTTGTGTAGATCCACCTTGGAAATATGATACTCGTACATATATTACACTTATTAAAGTAGTGGTCATGAAAAAAAAACAAAGTAGCGTACAAATAAGAGGAATATCTTTGCGAGCGAAATTATAAGGTTGATTCTTTTGGCAACCCATTTAAGTATTTTGTATAACCCTTTTAATTGTCGGAACTTCGAAATATAATTCACTTCTATTGTATTGTGACAACTGACAGCTCCATAAATTTTGTCAATTTGAAATGTCTAGATTTTCAAAACACAGATAATGATATGCTAACTACTCAAAGCATCGGCCATCACATTGGCCTTCCCGAGATGATACAAGATGGTGATATCATAGTCTTTCAATAGCTCTAACCACTTTTTCTACCTCAAATTGAGCTCCTTCTGCTTAACAAATACTGCAGACTTTTATGATCCGTGAACACCTCACACGACACGCCATATAAATAGTGCCTCCAAATCTTCAGCGCGTGAACAATGGCTGCTAGCTCCAAGTCATGAACTGGATAATTCTTTTTGTGAATCTTCAACTACGGCGAAGCATATGAAATAACCTTGCCACCTTGCATCAACACTGCACCAAGTCCAATACGAGATGCGTCACAATACACTGCATAGGGTCCTGAACTTGTGGGCAACACCAACACCGACGCCGTAGTCAAAGCTGTCTTAAGCTTCTGAAAGCTCACCTCACACACGTCCGACCATATG